ATTTTGAGACCAAGGGTGTAAAGGCATGGGACGATGATTTCAGATTCCTGGGAGAAAATTCCCAGGCCTGGAAGAGCCTGTGGAAATTAATCAAGTAGCAGAGTGATGTCATTCTGATGAAAGGCAGCCTGTCAGACAGTTGGCGACTATGGGTGCTCTTTGGCATGGGCCACAGCCCCGCTGTACACCAAAATATGACATCAAAGCAGGTACCAGGCCAGGCCAAGAGGCTGGCACTGATCATTGTCTTCTTTGATTACAGTAGCCTCATCTTCTTGCTGGGAGGATAAAAGAAAACGGCTGCTTGGTGTTAAGAGAGTGTCAAAAATAATGAGGCGCATACCAATGCGCTAATAGTGTCCCAGTGGCTCGGTGGATGGAAGCGCGTACCGTGTACATACAACATTATGGGCAGAGTTCCCGGACAGGGATTAGGTCGAGTCCAAGACTGCATGCTTCTCAGTGGACATTTCCAGTGACTTTTGCCGTTAGTCTGGGACTAGATCTTAATCTCTGTCTGAAAAACCGCACCAAGAGTTATGACCGACCATACGTTGCATGTCAACAACTCTTTATTCTTTGTGTTCTTCATGAAATAAAAATCTTTAAACAAAAAGAATTATGCTAACCCTTAATTAACTCCTTTCTACAGCAATTCTTTAAGGTCTACAGTCTCAAAACAGTTTAAAATACAGCTCTCACATAATTGAATAATGACCATGTTTTACAGCAGGGTGTGGACTTCAAAAGAATTTCCCCGTAGAGACCAGGTTAAAGGACAGAAAACGAATCGCGTGTTGTGGCTATACTGTCATGACCTATAATAAGGGCTTTTCCATGTCCTTTGGCAAATCTCTGGCGTAAATAAACATTTCCAGGACAAAAGGGCCTGATTCTCCTTGTGTCTCGGTGGAGATGAGAATAAGCGCAGGGGAAGGGCTGCCGCCTCTCTGATGATAATAATAGCAGGTTTCGAATGGTAAGTGGTCTCGGCTCCCTCCTCTGTCGCTACCTGGCACAGCAGGGCATTGCGAGGGGTGATTCAGGCTCGAGGCATGAATGGAAAACTCCTCCTGGAGGAAGGCCGCACGCTCACGCACCGGTACATCCAAACAGCCAGTTCCACCTCACTCATCTTCCTGTTCGACAACACATTCCTACAAGCATGCATGTGCGTCCGTGCTAACACACACACACACACACACACACACAAACAACCCATCCATCATGTTTAGCATGGATGACGTGACAGAACTGTTTACAGGCGACCGCAGCGATTTTGTGACCGTCATTCAGATGAAGGATCAACAACAAACAGCTGACCTGAACTATTTGATTACCCCTTGGTGCCGGAGAGACCTTTAATGCAAGCTGTCCTATCTTGAAAGACTTCATTTTTATCAAACAGGGCATCATCTGTAACCAATAGACGGCCTCCTCTTACAAAATGAGAGCCTGCTCAACAGATGTCTCCTGCTTCTCTTACTCTCTCTTACTCCCCATTTACATCCACATCTTAGATGGCACCTCTTGACTTGAGTTAGGATCAAGGTTGTTTACCGATTCTCTGGATAATATCAGGAACATGTGGTGGGGGGGGGGGCACATGAAAGGGAATCTACAGTGTGTTAACACCCAAAAACCTCTGTACATGTTTGTTTGGGGGTTTTAAACAATAGTTGCAACACGATATTAAGGGGACCTGCTTACGTGAGGTTTGCCTCAAGGTGACACAGCACAGAAGCTGAAGTGCTTTGGAGGGATAGCCTAAAACGTCAAAGCTCTCTAACATTACAGTCACATCAACTTGTAAATAAAGCTGTCATCAAAATAATGCATGAATAATATCTAGAATATATACTGTATATATATTGTTTTTTTCCATTTCTAAGTGCAGCATAGTGACTGTATTCGCTATGATAAGCAACAAACAAAATGTTAAAGTCTTTTAAAAATAAACCAGCAGAGAAATGAAGAAATTACTACAATTTACACAAAACCTCTGAAGGTTTCAACAACTTTTCAACTAATTTGTAACACCTGAGTAGTATTCCATACAGTTCCAGTTCCCTTATCTTCCCGGCTTTTAGCAGATTTCCACACTTAAACACTTTGTGGCATAATACCACTAAATCTCAGGCTTTGCTGTTGTGACCTTCGTGGGATTCAGTGCTACGGTTGAGTTGCATAATCCCTAACCCAATATCATGTGTTTTATGCTGGTGCTGACTCGTGCTAGCGCTCTGTATGGGAGAGGGTGGCAATTTAAGGGAATTTAAAGAAAGTCCTCTATGAAACATAAAAGTTTTATGGATGGTGATCTCTCCTTTGTTCTTCCAATGAGGACCTCCACCTGTTTCTGATGATGTGAGCCAGAGTCTGTCCCTTTCAAGAGGCTGATCCCTCCTGATCTCTTTGATGTAACCTGACCTAACAGTTCCAACTAGGATTTGATGATCTCGGATGGACCCTCGACAACAGCATGTGCAAATCAAAACTAACAGGCACGAGGAGACGGACGGTGGGGATGTGTGAGCAGAACTGGCAGGCTGCGCAGACGGAGAGAGCGCTCACGGAGCTATGATGTGTTCAAACACCAGGCAGGCAACAGTCACATGATCAATGCTGCCAGCCCAGACTTAAGCAGTAAAACCTGTGGATCTGTGAGGGCACATGCAACTGATCGGAGATGAAAGACAGGCTTTGACTTTCACAGGAGGCCTAGAGTCGGGGAGGGGGCTCTACGGGGGCACTTCTGAGGGACTGCCATCAGAACAGCTGGGTCATTTTCAAATGACCTAATTCTAGGATTAATCCATTCGGACTTGCATGGTTAAATTTGTGTCTAAGCCACACGCAGACGATGGGAGGCAAAGCAAAGGGGAGAGAGAGAGAGAATTACCAGTGAAAGCCATGAAAGGCTTAGCACTTGGAGTTCAAACAAGGTGCAGGGTAGAGAACCACTGTGCACCAACAGTAGCAAAGCTAACCAGTGTGTCTGTCTCCAGCCTCACACTGTTCGGTAAATTTAACACAGAATCTACACATTTAGATCACTCAAAGCGCGAGTGTCCGCGGCTCACGCTCGGGTCAGAGGACTTTTCGACACACACCGCCGGGGCATCTCTTCATGGTAGCGTGTGTGTCAGAGGCCAGCGTCCATCTGCGAGTGATTTAAGGGTTACATTTTTCGCGATGACGTGTGATAAAACAGGGAGGTATGGGTCAAAGTGACCAGACTCAATCTGTGACAGAGCCTCTCATCCTGGGCCCTGCCACATGTTTTAATCTATACAAGCATCTGTTTTGAAGTTCCCGATGAATACCATCAGTCCGGCTGGTGACTTCATATCCATCTTACCTGGCTCAGAGGACTTCGACACCCTTTAGGCACACTGATTAGCCACAGGGATAGAGGTTCTTTTTCTGAGAGGATGTGAAGCAGTTTTAACATGTTGTTGTGCTCACGACGCACGTAAGCAGTTTCTAACATGCCCAAATGTGTTCTGTCTGGCTGAGTTTCTGTCATAACATTTTCAGTCCCCGAAGACGAAGGTGTCAAGCTCAGCTCAGACTGATAATTATAATGAACGTGTCATTCATTGGTTCTCACAAAAACAACATCTGATATCTGAAGAAACTCAGCTCTCAGTGCCCCAACATGAGGCCCATGAATTCTCTCCGATCTCACAGCCAAAGCTGATATACTGCATCAAATAAGAAATCATCAATAAACTACGTGTGTACAGGTAGACTGCAGTCCCTTTGAAACTAAACTGAAGGACAATCTCTGCTTCACATGGGAATAATGAGCTCAATCAAAGACAAAAGTCGCCATGAAGTGTCACCTCGATGAATAATCAACGTTATTCTTGTGTAATCACTGCGAGCTGCACTGTAACATAAATGTGTCCTTAGAATGAGAGATTGTTGGAGGGAAGCCTATATACCTCAACCGTAACGAGGCATTCCTGTGTTAAAAAGCTGGCTTCCCATCACAATGCTCATGCTCGACTTAAAATATACAGTAGACCAGGAGAGTTTGGAAGAGACTGAAGTGGGAGTGAGGAAGCGAGGCCAGGGGGGGAGAAAGAGTGATGGGTGCTTTGATCTTTGGAGGCCCCGTCTGGATTAAAATAAAAACAAGTGTCCAAGTCCTTTTCTAAACCTTAAGAAAACATGAGCAGCTCAACTAGTCAGAACTGGAAGTGATTCCTAAAAAGAGGTAGGCTGTGTGTGGAGTTTTTTTTTTTTTGTGGGGTGGTGGATGATACTCTCTAAACAATGTTGTGTTTTTATTTGCCTCGTAAAAGTAAAGCCTTAAAATACGTGAACTAATAATAACAATAATAATTTCGCTTATTTAACAAGGCTAAGTCTGACTGATTTTCTTGACCAAATATTGTTGGAACTCTTCCCAAGTTTTGATCGTGTTTTGTTTCCCCCCCCGCACTTGATTTTCAAGCAAGTGTGTAACAAAATGCGTATTCTCACTTCATAAATTTGTGGTGGAATGGGAAATTTCAAGCATTTCAAGGCCAATAAAAGCCACCACATCAAATGAATCATCGCGGATCAAAAGAACCAACGCATGGACATGTTTTCCCTATATACATTCTAAAAAAGGGGATAGTCTTCCACGCTTGATTATGCCCTGAGTCCTGCCCCGCTCCTGCGATTGGCTGGACGGACACTCATGGGGGGAAAGTTTGAATAAAATACAAGAGCATGGCACCAGTGTTGTCGTTCAAGCTTGTGTGCTTGGTCCAGCAGCGCTTGAGTTGAGCTTGGTAGATGGGAAAACGGTTGTAGTCGGACTCTTTGAAAGATTATAATATATCCAGACAACTCAGCGGACTGTAATTAATTTAAAAGGACTTTTTAAATTTAGTTGACATTCAATTGAAGCGTTTCTAGGAGCGGGTGCCACGAGTTGTGACGTCTTTTAAAACAGTGCGTAATTGTCGTTTCTTTCTCAGCTGCATCGGTAAAAGTTTGTGTTTCCCCTGACGAGACGTTGCTTTTTGAAGAAAGAACATCTCACATCTCCGCGATAAGATGACAGCGATCAGAATGCTTTCATCAGTGCTGGTGCTGGTGCTGATGCAGTCCGGAGCTCTTTGCGCACGGAGGTTTCGGGGTGGCCGCAACCCACAAACACGACGCACACCACCACCTCCTCCCACATACCGGGCGGATCGGGGTGACACCACGGAGAGCTTCCCTCTGGATTTCACCGCCGTGGAGGAGAACATGGATAACTTCATGACACAGGTGAAGAACCTCGCGCAGTCCCTCTACCCGTGCTCCGCGCAGAAGCTCGACTACGACATGAAGCTGAACTTTTTGGGGAACACATCGGTCACCTGCAACGATGGAAGTCCTGCGGGGTATGTACCAATTTAGAATACACGTGTACAGCGTGATCTATCTTATGAGTCGATCGCCAGGGTCAGCTGTGCAGCAGTGCGACCTGGAGCTGTAGGAGCAATTGTTGTTTAGCTTCAGCAGGGCTCAGCCCTCGCTGCTGGTCATCCTGCTACCCAAAGTAACGCGCATGTATCTGGCCTGAGGACAACAATGGTCGTCTCAGCGGAGATTCCTCTTATTGGGACTGGTTTTTTCAAAAATGGTTTTCCTCTATAAATGATAAATAACCAAAATAAATGGGAGGGATTTTCAAAAGAGAGCTATGCCCTAGGACAGAATAACGGGATGAGATAAACAGCTGCTTTGCGTCAGCTAAGCGTGAAATTTGCAGGATAGCCACATGGCCTATGCTTCATTTCCGTTGCTTCAAATTAGAATGCAGGGTTTGCTCTGCAGAAAGTTTAGATTTAAGTTTTCAGACCCCAGTCCATCTCTCTATCTCTCTTTGATTGCAGAGTGTATAGCACACTGCTGGATTATGATTTGAATTGGATTATGAGCCGTTTAACAGTATGTGTTATTTACTTGGCTACTTTAAAACGTGTACTATTTGCTCTTAATGGCTCCTGGTAGTGTCTGGTAAAAATATATATATTTTAGTCTATGGTCAATGAGGTAAACAATAGATCACTTCATTTGTTTGCCATGATATCCACTGTTGACATTGTTGTAAAGCAAAAATCCATTTGGCAGCAAGAAAGGCTGAATGATTGAAAGCGATAAGCCAATGGCACTAAAAGCACATTAATATCAGACAGATCCACTGCCTCTTATATTGTATAGTACACAAACAATCCTCAGTCATATGGACTCTTCAAGTCAAGTTGAATACTGTAAGTTAAACTGATTCCTGTACAAATAATACTGATAATTAAGGGAGGTGGAGATGAATCAAGCACAAGTTAGTTGTAAAAGTTGTTATTTTTATTTTATTGTTATCCAAAGACGGTGGATCTCTCTTGTGTCTCAAACTGTTAACATATCATTCTGCACAAACTGTACCACAATGAAAGAACAGTATTTAAAATGGTATGCCCCTAATAGGCTTAATATAGCAAAACTATTGAAAAGCACAACCACAACAATGTTGTGCATTCATTATTATTTGAGAGTATTTTATAAATGCTTTACTGTCAAGGATGTCTGTTCCATATCAGGAGGCTTTGATGACGTATCTGTGCATAATACCTTATCTGGGACCAGTTCAGTGACGGGCAGACTTTGTTTTTTATACGTCTCTTTATGGATTTACTATCCTGTCTAATTCCTGTAAAACCCCGAAGTGCCTGGTGGAGAGAGCTGTCTGTTGGCGCGGTAAAGCTCTCAGCTCTTTAGAGACGCAAGGGACAGTTACTGGCAGATGGCCGTTTCATTCACCACCATGGCTGTTGTCAGTTGAGATGCTAATCCGTCGTCTACCAACAGTGGGTTTTTTTTCACAGAGGTATTGTTACAGTAACAGATAAACAAGGATGCAACAAGTAAAATCATTCACAGGACGGTGTGTGATTCACTTTCTGGAGTCACACTTGTTAGAGTGAGAGTGATGATGCACCCTCTTGGCTTGTTCAGCTTTGCCAAGCCCGCCTTCACTTTGTTGTTTGGAAGTAGTGAGTAGAGTGCAACTGTCTTCAGCCTACATCATTGACTGTGCCTCGCAATAATAGCACAAGGCATTAACGGCAGCCAAAGTGTGATTCAGAGTCTGAGGAAACAGCACAGAGCTTCAGCCAAGTCTGTTTTCTTTTAAGTCACTGAAGTTTTTTTTGGTAATCCCTCCGGTTTAGTCATTGGTAAAGTCGGGTGGATACTGATTGAATAATATATGAAAAAAAAAAAAAAAAATCTTTCAGCATCACAGTCGCACATATAAAAATCCTGTTGAAAAGAGGATGATGAAGCGTCTGACTTGAGAAGGTCCAGCAGAATGCGCATGCCCTCTTCTGGACTGACAACATACAGCACACGTCTTCTATACATATATATTCTATAGCGTGCATTAACTTCTTGTTACAATTTTAACCTGGCACAAAAACATTTGGGTGCAGTAGATGGGCATTATCTTGGACATATATGGATCCCAAAATGAAAAAGACAGTCTGCGTGTGTTGACATCTAAGCACGTCAATTGAGTTGTTTCATTTTACCAGATCTCTTTATCATCACTGCGGGCCGGAGCCTTGATTTTATCCATGACGTGTGTGTTGATGAATGATGATCAGATGAACATGAGGAACACCGTCTGTAAACTACAAACAGGATAATGGAGAGTGTATCTCCTGTTTGATCAATTTCCTGAGTGCTAAACCGTACACATAACCTCATTGTTCTCTCCTGTGTACTCCTTGGATACATATTGGCGAAATTGCATTTGTTGCTGTTGTCGGTCACCTTGCAGAGATAGGAATCAACAACAGCATAACAACATATCTTTGTTTGGCTTACAGTGATGGTGTCCTATGTGTTTATGTTTCATACTTGGATACCGTCACTGATGGTAGAAACAGCGCAGATGTTTTCAGTGTTTATCTCATGTTTCACAATTGTGGAATGTGGTTTTTATCTATTTGTTGTTTAGATATATTGTTATTCAGGCGGTGTAAAATAAGCCTTAAGGGTATTTAGTATCACATTCGCATATATTAAAGCATTATCGACACGTCTGCTATGCTGTGTTGATTTGATATTCTTTGGTCTCCCATAGGTACTACCTGAAAGAATCCCGGGGCAGCAGACGCTGGTTGATATTCTTAGAGGGTCAGTATTAATATAACTCATGTCATTATGTTTCTCTTTGATGAATAATTCTAGACAATGTGTGTGATACACTCCCTGTGTGTTTTTGTTGTTGTTGTGTGTATCTATGTCCAGGCGGCTGGTACTGCTTCAACAAGGAGAACTGCGACAGCCGATACGAGACGATGAGGAGACTGATGAGCTCATCCAAGTGGCCCCAAACTAAAACAGGTCAGCTTCAGCTATTTTGTGTACTTCACTATACGCTCCCATAAGCACCCCTGTTGCTCCACCTGTGACCTGAAGAAGCAAATCCTGACCCCGAAACAAGGGCAAAAAAGTAGCTAGATCCTAATGTCTTCGTAAATTAAAAGGATTGGATGTATCTGTCACCCCGTCATAATGTAGGTGCGGTGTAGGGCTACCTGGCGCCCGCTGCTGTAGGAACAGAGACGCTTCCCTCTCTCATTGCAGTTTAATAACTGTAATCCACGTGGTAATGATGATGAGGAGGAAGAGGATGTGTCTGGGAGTGCCAGGATGGCTAATGATACATGTTGATCTGTCTCTGCAGGCACAGGGATCCTGTCTCCGCTGCCTGAGGAAAACCCTCACTGGTGGAACGCCAACATGGTGTAAGTTGGCTAATGTTTGTGTGTTTATTGAAGCTCAATTTTGAATCACAGCTGGGAACTTTAACTGTATGTCGGTGGTGCAGGTTCATCCCGTACTGCTCCAGCGACGTGTGGAGCGGCGCTACAGCCAAAACAGAGCAGAGTAAGACATCACTGACTCATCAAAACAAACCTAACGTGTAACCCTCTTTCAAAAAAAACAAGTTATTCTAAAGTTCTACTCTCTCTGTGTTGTGTGTAGGTGGTTATGCCTTCATGGGCTCACTGATTATTCAGGAGGTTGTGAAGGACCTGCTGAACAAAGGTCTGGACAACGCAAAAGTTCTCCTCCTAGCAGGGAGCAGGTGTGTTCACGTGCGAACATTTTGCTTGTGATTTCAAATAAAAAATCGTAGACATTTCACTCAATTCCTGTACAGGTGTTTGTTAAGAATATGTCATATTTAATGCGTGCAGTGCGGGTGGTACTGGAGTCCTTCTGAACGTGGACCATGTGGCAGAGCTGCTGGAGGGCCTGGGACACACCGGGATACAAGTGCGAGGCCTGTCTGATTCTGGCTGGTTCCTGGACAACAAGCAGTACCACTGCACGGACTGCGTGGACGCTGTCAGCTGTGCCCCCACGGAGACCATCAAGAGAGGCATCAAGTACGGGAGCCAGCGAATATTATCATAAAAAGACAAAAGGATTTGTGAGATGGACTTATTTCAGTACGGTGACGAGATCATCGGGTGGCTAACCTTGACACCGTGTATCCTATCTTTTCACCTGTCCCATCAGGTACTGGGGAGGAGTGGTACCAGAGAGGTGCAGGCAAACCCATGAAGGAGAGGAGTGGAACTGTTTCTTTGGATATAGAGTCTTCCCATCAATAAAAAGTGAGTTTGGGGTCTCATTCTGTACCTGTTTGGCACAGAGTAGATATATACTATCCTGTATGTATATATGCACAATAATCTTACATTCATCTTTGTCCATTCTGCCTGTGCAGGCCCTGTGTTCGTTGTCCAGTGGCTGTTTGATGAGGCCCAGTTGACAGTGGACAACATCCAGCTGACAGGCCAGCCTGTGCAAGAAAGCCAGTGGCGCTACATCCAAAACTTGGGCATTGAACTGAGGAACACACTCAAAGATGTCCCGTAAGGCTTCGTCTCTTTCAGGAGGAGAATTTAAATAGGATTATTGCACGGATTCCCATTGGTTTATGTGTTGTTGCTTTCTATTCGCAGGGCTATGTTTGCTCCAGCATGTCTATCACATGAAGTTATCACCAGAAAGTGAGTATGATTTAATTTACAAGCCCCCGTCATCCCAGTGCATCATCACCAGAGGACACGAAACTTTGTGTCTGAGACTCTCTACTTGTGAGCTGACAGCGCCCTCTTGTGTTGTGTTCTAGTTACTGGATTGACGTGCAGGTTAAAGGCACCTCCTTGCCCCGGGCCCTGCACTGCTGGGACCGCAGCCTCAATGACAACAGGAACAACAAGGCTCCACCCAAAGGCTGCCCCGTACATCTGATTGACAGCTGCCCGTGGCCACACTGCAACCCCACCTGCCCCACCATCCGAGACCAGTTCACCGGACAAGAGATGAACGTCATTCAGTTCCTCATGCACATGGGCTTCGACGTGCAGAAGATGGCCCAGCAGCAGGGCATGGACCCCAGCAAGCTACTGGGCATGCTCAGCAGCGGCAGCTAAAGGGACACACATACAAACAGCATCTCCAAGCTAAGCCCAATGCAGGGCTGGCTGGTCTCTCTGGCCAGTCTCCCATGGCTGATACCTCCAACTCCACCTTCACAACCCGTTCTACCTATAGTCAACTCCCCTCTGACCTCATTTACTTTAGTTTCGAACCTCAGTCAAACACAGTGGCTTTTATTTGTCCGACAATCCCTTTTTCCTCACAACTGGTGACAAGTACGGGGGCAACACGCCACCACAACAAGGCACAACTCTCTGCTACTCTCCATTTAAATTATCTTTTGCTTTGTAAAAGAAAAGAAATATCACAGATGTAATCCAGTTTTAAGGATGCTCGTTGTTGTTTTATTCATTTGAATATTATTTTCATCCTTCCATAGATTATATTTAGTCATTGTTTTAAAAAAAAAAAAGAAAACACCACAATGACGTAAGGATGCTGTCTTTGTTCAGTTGTCAGTATAGAGTATATAAGGGTCTAATTTAAAATAATAACTGAAACCTGAGACTGAAACCACAAAAGCCTTCATCGAGGCAGTAACAGATAACAGATAGGATAAGATGAGAAAGGCACTGGATCAGAAAGGATATCTTGTATTTACTTTTAAAATAATTGAAAGAACGGTAGCGAGACACAAATACTCCTCTAATCCGCTCATGTTATAAGAACAAGTTGGATTGACATGGATGTTTTTTTTTTCAATTCATTATGTTTTATTGGCCCGAGTGTAACAAAGACACTATTGCCAAAAGCATCAAGTAATAATAAGATTGTCATGAATATTGCAGAAAACAATAGGCTTCTGAAATGAAAAGCAGCAAGCAGACAAATATCAAATGTTATTCCTTGCTGAAGAAAGTAGCCAAAAAATAACAAAAGACAGACAATGCTCCAAAAATATATATTATTGTTGTGATTATGTGGGTTAAGAGAAAAGATTAAGGTAACTCATACATGATAGTGTTGACATCTGAGTGGCGTAGTTTCAGTTTGGACTGCTGTGAAGATGCCTGAATGGCCGGGTTAGTCGTCTGCTGAAGCTGAAGTGGACCCGAGAAACACTTTAAAGGTCTATCAGTAGCGATACATACACCACAGTGCCATTACATCTAGTCTGTACCTCTTACTCACAGGCCGCGTCATCTCAAGATGACTGTTCAAACCCCAGACATTCATGCTATAGGTCAGTATCGCAGCAATCCTCAGATCGATGCAACGAACATTTAAAGGGAGACAAATTACGTGTATTGTATATTTTTTTTGAGTATTTGTATAGGTTCTTTCAAGTGTTCACTATTGTAACTCCCTTCTTATATTTCATAATAGAGATCACTTTTTAATATAATGACTGTTGTACGTAATGATGTTTTTAAAGGACCTCTATTTCGCATCACACCAGAGAAGGAAACGTATTACTACTTGTAATTTTATTCTGTAACATATTTTTTAACAGAAAAACAAAAAACTCAAGCTGCATTGGTAATTTACATATTTATTTTGTTATGTAAATCATATTTATAAGTGCTATTTTCACAGAGAAGTGATTCTTTGTAAATTGTAAATACATTGTTTTTTCTCTTCGTGTTGATTGCATGTCTTTGTATCAGACCTAAAAGAAAAGACACATTACATATACTACAAGGTAAATATTGCTGTGCAGTCTTGTTATTATTATTAAGAGGAGTAGTAGTAGTAGTATTTGTACAATGCTCATTCCCATTTTACACTCACCGCACAAAAACCTTCAGCAGGAGGTAAGGTCAACAGCTCCCTCAGGCTCCCGACACAGTCTGTCACCATTTTGACATATCTGATAATAGATACGAGGCTTAGTGTACACAATCTGTCGGGTTGAAGGTTTTTTTTCAGCACCTTATATTTTTGCAGCTTTCGGTAAATCTGAAGAACTGTGGTCGATCTCCAAAAGCGGGGAAACATTTCCGAGCAGGTGAAGTGAAAGTGAGAAAATGTTGGCGTTTTTTATTTTGATTGAAAATGACCCAAAACTAATAGGAAATGACCTGATGAACTGATAATATCACACTTTGTATAACCAGTCTACAATACATCTTCTAACATCACACATACACAAGTCAATGCAAGGCACTGGGCTAACCATCGGGAGCAGTTGGGTTCGTTTTCGTGCTCAAGGACAGCTCGACATGTGGAGGGGGAGCTGCTAACCCTGCGATTAATGCTCGCCCCGCTCTACCTGCTGAGCTACCGCCAGCTTTACACATCAAGTGTGTCACATTCCTAGTTTGGGCCACTTTGATGTGCCAAACACAGTGCTAAAATATAACTTCCAAGAGAAACAAGAGGTCTAGAGCCCGCTGACTGTTTGCAGCTACACTTACTGGACTATAATCACATCAGAAAAAAGAACACAGATATATCAAAAAGTACAAAACAGCTTATTTGCAGTCTCAGGAACTGGCCAATAGGAATATTGCAGCTGTTTTTGGTGATTACTCTCAGCTATTGGAAGTGTGTTTCTGATTAAGGGTTTGCGATAGATTGTAGTCTCAATAGTCTGTTTCCCTTGCAGAAGTTTAGGAAGCAACTATGACACGCTGTTCCATAGTGAACGAGAGATAATTAGCTGTAGAATTCATATATTTCATGAAATCAATCAGCTCTAGACCTCTCCATACGACCAGAATATCCTCCATGTATCATTTCTACAAAGCGATCTTGAACTATAATGCGCTTTGGAGTGAGTTAAGAACGAATTTCTCAGCATAGGAAACATAATTAGCATCATTTTCTCAAAGCATAGGAGGGGACATACTGTACGCACTGCCCATTGGGGGCTTGTTAATGGATTTTGTAGTTCGGGCAGGCCACAAAAAAACAGGTAATATAGGACACAAAGAAAGTAGGATTTGGCTGAAATATACCAGACTTCACATGCTGTCAAATGAATATGTTCACCTTACACACTGTAACAAAAAACATCACAGCATACTAATACCACAGGTTAAAGTATTTTAAGTAACTACTAATTTATTTCCACTTCCCGCCTAAATGCATCGCTCAAATCTGCAATCACATAATCATAATCATCCCTCTGGACCTGTATGTAATTGCTGCCTCTAATGGGAGTCTAAGCCTCCCTCCCTGTCATTACAGTGGTATAAATGCCAGTTTCTTACTGAGGGTGCTCTGACTCAGCCTCTCTGGGTGCTCCCTAGAAATACGACTCCCGCACTGCCTGCCACATGTAGCCTCCCACCCCTCTGTGGAATATAGACCCCCTATTTATAGAGCTGGCGAGGCCTGTATCCTGGGCTCGGCTCAAACTTTCATTTAAACAACCACCCCTTTGCAGTCCACCGAGTGCACACTGACACACACAGGAGGGAGAGGGTGTGTGTTTGTGAGAACAAGAAAGAGTGGGAGACCCAATCCAAGAGGCAAAAGGAGACAGAGACAGCAAGACAAAGAGCAAGAGACACAGCCAACAGTTTGAGTGATTCTGATGAGCAGTTCAGGGCCTACGGTGAAGAGATTACTAGGACCGAATCACTGAGTAATGGAACTTGACTGACAGGACAACAAACTAGTCCACCTGTTCGGCACTGGGGGCTATTGTTGGAAGATTAATCACTGGATATGACTTTTAGAGGACCTTACTCCACTTTGAACTTTTGATACACTGGACAACTTGGTGATTGAAGAGAGCAAGTAAGGGAAACCAAGATTTATGAGGACGAACACGACAGCTTTGAGTAAGACCAGGATCAAATACTTCCTCTCTAAAACATTTTTAAAACACTATAAGAAGGACTGATACCAGTGTGTGTGTACCAATGTGATTTACAGAAATTATACTGTGTTCACAGTTTATAGACTTGTGCAGCCGAGTAGATGTTACTTCAGAAACAAACAAAGAAATACACAATATATCTTATTTCAAGCTCTAATTAAATATCCTTTACTAAAGCAAGCTACTGTTCTAACTTCTACATAAGAGTGTACAAATGTGACTTGATCTTATGCACACTACTGTAATTACAAAGCAAACTCTGAGAAGAACTACAGACATTTATAATTAAGGACCATCTATAAAAAGGCACCCAAGGAAAGGGTGAGGTCTGTGACAAAAAAAAAGAAAGAAAAAAGAGTCAGCCACACGGACACCAGGACAGAGAACAGGACGTCAAGAAAAAAACAGCTGCCTCTGCGAGACAACACACACACCATGGATTCTAATGGAGGACACTACCTCAACAAGGAAGCTGTGCTGTCACCTCTAGGTGCAGCCCGAATGTGCCAGCTGCTATTCGGCTGCACCATAATGTCCCTTGTGTCCCACGGCGCGGACTACAGCGCCACCTACGGAACCTTCTGCATGTTTGTGTGGTGCTTCTGCTTTGCTGTCACACTGGTCGTGTTCGCCATGGACATCACGCGGCTCCACTCGTGCATGCCCATCTCCTGGGATAACTTCACCGTGGCGTTTGCCATGCTGGCAACGCTCATGTACATCACGGCCTCTGTGGTCTACCCTGTTTACTTCCTCCAAACGGAGTGCCCCGATGAGGACTGCGAGGCCCAAATCTACCGCATTGCCGTCACCGTCTGCTCCAGTCTCTGCTGCTTCCCCTACGGTGCTGAGGTGGTCCTAACTCGAGCCAAGCCGGGGGCTGTGGTGGGTTACATGGCCACCGTGTCCGGGCTACTCAAGGTGGTCCAGGCCTTTGTGGCCTGCATTATTTTCGGAGCCCTGGCCAACGACAGCGAGTACACCCTCCACATTGCCACCCAGTACTGCGTGGTGGTGTACAGCCTGTGCTTCTCCGTCACTGTCGTCGTGGTCATACTGACCGTTTCTGGTCGGACCTCTGCCCTGCGGTTCCCCTTTGATCGCTTTGTGGTCGTCTACACCTTCTTCGCTGTGATCCTCTACCTCAGCACTGCACTGACCTGGCCCATCTTCAGCTTCGACAAAAAGTACGGCACCACTACTCGTCCCGAGGACTGCCCACGGGGAGACTGTCCCTGGGACAGTAAGCTGGTGGTGGCAGTGTTCACCAACGTCAACATGATCCTATATTTCGTAGACCTCGTTTACTCCCAGAGGATTCGCTTTGTCTCCAGCTCTGCTGTCTGAACCCCTACTCCCCCAAAGACTGTTTGGATTCAGAAACAAATGAAGAAGCTTTGAGTCAACATTATGCTCTCCACATTCAGGTCTCCGTGAAGGAATAATTCCCTCCATAGATCCATGGTGTCATATCTATGTGTGGCATTTCTTTTATCATCAGTATTTTTATAGAATTTTGCCTGTAGGCAGCAAAACGGACAGTATTACCCCCTTTTATAAGCTTAAAAGGCCTTTGCCCACTGCTGCAGTGACCTACCAGGGAGAGTCTGCCAGGTGCACCAACGAGCTGATCTCAGCATCTTTGTCCACAGAGGACCCTGGGAAGTATGTCCACCTCAGCACCAAATAGACTCCAGATACCTTTGGTGGTGGCATACAGGACGGACCTATGGGAGTGTGGGATAATGTTTAAAATATCAGAACAGTGTTATGTCAGACTACAGAGGCTGAACAATGTATTTATGTATTAATATATGCATTCAAATATATGTAAAGAGTAAAAAGGATGAATATATATCTCATAGAGATGAATAGCATATGTTAAGTCTACAGCATGCACTGAACTTTGCTTTTGGTTTCGGCTTTCTTGCCATTTTGTCAATCTTTTCCTCCACATTATGTCCTCACTAATGCCAAAGGTTGAAGTTCATTTGTCATCCACTGAATGTTAAATGTATCTAATACATGAATTTACTTCGACAACAGCAACATTTTATTTTATTTGGGATAAGCACAGTCAAGTAGTGTAATCTCATCTTTTGCTATATTTCTGATGTGTTCCATGTTTATTAAAAAGTTATCAAATTGTATGTTTTACTGGTCTTTTTGATTTCTGTATACTTTGCATGAAGTAACGCACGGCCTAAATTGAAATGTGAACCTTAGCGCTCAACTTTCAGAAGACAGAAGACTCCTCTATTACACAGGCAGCATAAATCTCATTTGTAAATTGGCAAAGGTTCAAATCAAAAATGAAATTGGTAGTTATGTTGATTAAAGTACATATGATTCATAGCCTGATTAAATCAGATGAACGTGATACTTCAATATGTGCAGTAGAGTCATTTATAAACCTGTTAAATGACATGTACTGTTAGAAAACAGTTTCCTGAGAAGCATTGTTGTTGGTTGCATGCTTCCACACACAATTGGTGAACAATTTAGCAATTTAAAATAGGCTTATTTATTATCGTCAATTATATGTGCTTCACACCTACACCATTTCAATAGTCTTTGTTACGTTCCCCGTTATGGCATCTAAGGGATGCGGGGAGTAACGGTGTTATTTTCGCGGGGAAAGAGAGACTGAGCAACGATGACGGTTAACAAAAAGAGTATTTATTATAAAAGGGCTAGCTGCTTGCACGGCAGCAAAAGAAAAATACTTTCTTATAAAAAGAAAGCGACCCTAGACATACAACAGCCCACACGGCTGGAACAAAGGTGCAGAGTGCACATGCGCGCGCACCCACCCACACACACACACACACACACACACACACACACACACACACACACACACACACACACACACAGCTCCACCACTACGCCAAAGGGTTGTCAGCTGACACACACAGCCTCACTACTGTGGTCTGCCCCAAGAGAGAGATTGTCCTTCAGGAGTTCCTCTCCTTTTAGCCACCAGCCACAGCTAATCGCGATTGAACGCAGCCGCGTCCAATCAGCCGCTGCAGCTGAGGGTGAGAGGGTGGCACCCGAGAAGACACTGAGGAAACAGAGGGAAAGCACAAACACAACACCACACGTAACAGTCTTGCAAACATGTTTCATGATGGACACAAGCCGAAAGGTGTTGGTCCAATAATCTACAAGTGTTGCAGGAGTTTTACCTCTTCAGACTTAATTGTTCCCCTTGTAAATCGTAAATCCTCTACTTCCTCGAGTGTTTTTGATTGACATAAATGCACAAAATAAACGATATGAAATGTTATTGCTCAATGGAGGCACTGAAGATAAAAACAACATGTGTTACTTACTGATAACTAGGCTACAGGTTGGCTCTCTGGGTCTACTTTCCAAAATAAATCTCTAACATGTCCTTTAAAGGTCTCATCCAGCAGGTGATAGCAAAGTAACTTCCTGGTATTCTCCCCCTGCGGCTCAATCTGATGCAACAGGCTTCATCGAGCCCGCCCCGAGGTCACCATCAAAACCGCTGTGCCCAAACATACGCGCTCATTGGCTTGCTTACTTGCCAGTTAAATTTGTGGCAACAGGTACAGGATGCGCAACCGCCTGTGCCACGCCTGTGCCACGCCTGTGCCACGCCTGTGCCAGCTTCACGCCCGTGAAGCTGTTGCTGTATCGGTCGGCTGTGGGCTCCACAGTTTATTCCTAAGTCTTTTCCCCTGCAAATGTATTCACTGTACAACAATATGGCCGCTGCCACCGTGTGTTTAGAAATGTCGTTTCCATTAAATAAAGTCCAAGGTGTTCTTCTCTGTACACACACAAACAGGTAGAATGAGTGTGGGCTTCATAGGAGCAGGCCAGCTGGCCCATGCTCTGGTGAGAGGCTTCACAGAGGCAGGTGAGTGTTGAAACATACCTCGTGTTTGTATTATTAATCCCATTTGTATCGTTGATGTATGTTGATTGCAATCAGACACTGAAATTATTTCTGGACATGTTCGTCAACATGGCGTGATTGCCACCCACAGAATCACAGCCAGTTCCCCAGACACAGATCTCCCCACAGTACAGGAGCTGCGGGTAGGTAGATAGTCAGGGATCAATACTGTACTCTGTGATTCTGTTTAATTCTGAATATAATTCTAGGGTTCCTAACATTCCATTGCTTGCATGTTGGGAATTCACTTGTGTACTTCTTTACAACAAAATCCTAAAAGATGTAATTTGTGCAGAAACTGGGCGTCAATTTCACCACCAGCACCAAAGAGACGGTGAGCAAAAGTGATGTTCTCTTCCTGGCCGTGAAGCCCCACATCATCCCTTTTGTACTGGATGAGATTGGACCAGACATCGAAGATCGTCACCTTATTGTGTCCTGTGCTGCAGGCGTCGCCATCAGCTCTATAGAGAAGGCAAGTCGCGGCCACCCGTCTTCCCACGTTGCTAACTGAACACAGATTGTTAAAAACAGAACTGGACAATATTGACGAAATCAAATATGTTTTTTCACTCAATACTCAATCATTACACTCTCTTGGACAGATATGCATTAATGAATGTGTAGTATTTAACCTAGACGTACAGGTATATAAAAGTTGTGGTTTGTTTACTTGTTTGCAAAAGTTGAATAAATCCAAAAGACAGTTCACTTAACTTTAAAGCTGCCTTTAAGATCAGGGAAATGCATTATTTAAACTATAATCATATATTAAATCAAAATCCCAGATGATTTGTATATTTTAAATGACATGGTATTAATCATCAATCATGTTTTTACCTACCTAATAATTAAAAAATACAAAAATGTACAATTATGAATGCAGATGGGAAGAAAATTTGTTCTTGCATTAAAAAATGTTTACACTTGATTTGTAATTCTCGTTATTTTGAAGAGTTTTTACCAAGTTGTTGGTGTGTGATTTATTATTTTAATAAGAAATAACAATTCGGTTAAATTTTGACCTATGTATTTATTCGTTACATTTTGTTTTACAAAGGTAAGCAATACTTAGGACAAGCCTAATGATCTTAGTCTCTTCCACACAGTGAGGCATGCAATTAATTAAACGCTGCTATTGGGTCGGTACTTGGTATCGGCCGATACTCAAAGCCCAGGAAAATGGTGTCTGGACTGTAAAAGTTGGAGCGGTGCCTCCCTATTTATTGTTTATTTTAACATGAGGCTCTCACTGTATTTCTGCTCTCACACACTCACGCATTTCCATTTAATAAAGTCCAAGATATGTTGTCTTAAGTAAATGTATATCACATGGCAAATTAAAGCAAATTAAATGTCGACTAGTGTATAAACTTTGATCCATGTTAGTTTAATTTAAAATAAAAGCCATAAACGATCCTCTCTGGACAATTCAGTCAGTACATTGCTACTTTCCCCAACAGAAGCTGCAGCAGTATCGCCCTTATCCAAAGGTGATGCGGTGCATGACAAACACTCACACAGTGGTGGTGCGTGAGGGGGCCACTGTGTACGCCACAGGCACCCATGCACAAGTGGAGGATGGAAGCCTCCTGGAGCAGCTGATGGCCAGCGTGGGATGCTGCACTGAGGTGGATGAGGACCTGATTGATGCCGTCACCGGCCTCAGCGTCAGTGGTCCTGCTTACATGAGTCATTTAAATAATGTTGATTGTGCTTTTACCGTTTTTTCCTGACCTGTAGCAACTGAGAAAAATGAGTCTTGTGGATTTTTTACTAATTGATTGTGGCCTTTCAGGCGTTTACAGCTCTAGAGGCTCTTGCTGATGGTGGAGTGAAGATGGGCCTGCCCAGGAGGCTGGCTGTACGCCTCGGAGCCCGAGCCCTGCTGGTATTAATTTTTGTTTATTAAAACAAATGTATGTGTTGCATGTATGTGCTTTCTTGGATGTTTTTGGTTCCTGTTTTAATTATGTTCCTCTTGGTTTAGGTGGTTTCAAGTATGGTTTTCAAGCTTTGCTGTGATGGATTCATATGAAAATGAGTCGATCCTTACTCACTCTGGCACAATTTAGTTCTCATGTTAACAGTTTAATGTGAAATCTATAAATCCAGACACGATTTTTGCAGTCTGTCATGGTTGGTTCTAGACACAGTCTGAATATACAGTATCTTGAAAAAAAAAAGATAAAAGTTAAATATGACAGCAATACTAATGTGAATGTATTTTTGTGCTTCTTTAAAGGGGCTGCTAAGATGTCGTTAGACTCAGACGAACACCCTGGGCAGCTCAAGGACAATGAGTGTTCACCAGGGGGCGCCACCATCCACCCTCTGCACCTCATGGATGCTGTAGAGGCCTCCTGCATTAGGACTAGGTAAGTTGATCAGAAAAGTGGGAGACAAACAAACTAACAAATCATATTTCCTGTCATAGGGATACACAATAAATGCTTTCAAGTTAATTGTCATATTCAAATGGCCAAGAGTGTTGTATTTCTTTTGAAGTTTATAATTCTGACAGCAGATGGAGCTATATGCAAATAATGTTACAATGAGAGCTTTGTCCTTCTCAGGTTACTAGTTACAAAATTGATCAGATTATTATTATCACGCTACTACACTTTGCTGTGCTGAATATGTGTGTTTCATACTATGTTGTAAATGTCTCTTGTGTTCCTGCCCTTCCCTAACAAGGGAACTTCAGTGTTTGGCCGACCAAGAGAAAATCTCGCCAGCTGCCATAAAGAAGACGACTCTGGACAAAGTGTTGCAGCAGCCAGGAGTGACTGCAGGGGCTGTTGGAGTCCGATCTCAGGGGATCCGTGTGTTCAGCAATAACCCCGGGACCAAGAAGAAGTGACGCAAACATTGTATTGTCTGTCACAAAAGCAAGGATACAATGTGAATAAACCACTACTGGCTGACGGCTGTTGGAAGAGAATCTAACCTAGTGGATTACTTTCTAGAAAAAAACAAAAAAAGCTATTGGGGATGATGAATGCATGAGCCATGTTTCCTTTTTGTAATGCAATGACTGTCCTTGGTCAGGCTACACTGGACTAGAATATTAATTTAATACGGCTTTCTATATCTTACTTCAGTCAGTCCTTTCTGATGGTAGTTGGCAAAGTACCATCTAAACTAATGCAATTGAGTGGTGCTGCGTGCCATGACTTTCTGGAAGTGGTGTTACTGTTCAACATGCATTTATGCAACTTCCAAATTATGTTAAAACTTCCTTACATAATGTGCTAATTTGTAGATTTTATGATGCAATGAAAGTGAGGATGTTTTCCAAACATTTTATAAATAAATATAAAAAAATCACATTTTGTGGATGTGAATTGTGTGTGTTTGAATGCGTTATTTCCCAGCAGTACCGTTTGCCAGTCACCTAACGGTTATTAGCAGCTCCGATGTAACAATAGAGGGTGTATTTTAGGTTAAAATGTTTTGTTTCTTGTGAGGAAAGAAGATCCTTCATGAATGGAGGCACGTGACCAAACACGATGACGTCTGGCTCCGATACAAGAGAAAGGAATCAACAAGGAGAGCACGAGCTGGCATTTGGAAGCGCTGTCGCTTCTTGTCAGTGAAACCGAAAATTTAAACTGCGCCTCTAGATGTGTGGTCACCGTCGTGACGGCGTGAGAAGAGGAACTTGACGGCAACAACTTCAGAGAGCGTCATTTTTTTTTTAAGTCAGGTGGGTTTGTAAACCAAACAGAGTCGGTGTTGTTATGCTGAGTGTGCATGCCTTCGACTCGCCGCTGACAAGCTGGCCGCGGCTACTAGCTTCACGGGTTAGCATACCTAGCGTCTTACATATATCCTCGTCAAGTTGGCCGGATTTATACCAGACCTTAGATTTCAAAATAAGAGCGCCCGCATTACTCAAGCTATTAACACGCATGTCCTCGCACGTATTGTGGTTTTATTTTGAAAGCGTACTACCGGAAATGCTTGTGTAGCCTGCTGGTAACCGACGGCGGGTGGAGGGACTTCTACTATGCTGAGATGGCAGCTAAGCTTTTTGTACACATGAAGCTCACGAGCAGCGAATATAAAAGATGCCATTCATATTTTGGGTGTTTGATGAAGCGCAGCGGCCAGCAGGTTTGCGCTTAAAACGAGGAATGAGGAATTGCTCGTGATGCTGAATTGCGACCGTTATAGTAGGAAGGCTGAGCACGGGGATTTCCTCGCCTGCTTGTTTGTAGGCGGGCAGTTGTTCGCCACTTTCACGAGACGGCGGTGAGAGGTTTTTTTTGGTGGGGGGGGGACAGAGAGTCGCGGAATGTCAAAAAAAAACCTGTGCAGCTAGGTTGCTCCTGGGATAAAACACTTTTATGCCAAAAGGTGTCCGCGCGCTGTCTCTCACCGCGCTTCTTGGTTGGGTTTGTCAACTCATGCGCTTCTTTGCTGTTCAAACCTGCTGCTTCATCACCTCGTTGTGCAAAAAAAAAAAAAAAAAAAAAGGAGCAAGAGCGAGCCGAGGCAGCGGTTTAGCGCGAGATCAGGTTGGTTTTTCAACATTTTTCCCCTCATGACATTTCAGTCTAAAATCTGAGCGTGTTGTGCTCTTTATGCGGCTTTTTAAAATGCATGATTTAATATGTTTTTTAGGAAATGCTTCCGAAATATACCATCGTTTTTTTTGCATTGAATTGGTTCACCTGAAGTGACAATTAATTTAACCACTGGTTACATTGTAACAATGGCAGTGCCAAAAACCCGCCGTCCTTGGCTGTAATATCACAGCCAGTTAACCACAGTATTGTTTTATTATCATCACCAACAAACAAGCAACGGGTATTTATTATTCTCCTTATCGTGCTGAATCATCACAATGATGCATTTAGACGTTCTCCGAATCCACCCCGAGACATGGTACCACCGGACAAAGGTCTGCTCGGTGGATGAGGGTCGATGTTTATCAGCGAAGCCGCTGTATGATTAAGGAGACGGATCGAAATGGTGCTGATCTAGTCGGTCATCCAGCGCGTGAGCATCAAGTGATGACCATCATGCATTTGTCAATAACAGCCTCGTATACGTGCAGCTGAGAATGGGCATTTTATTGCAGCGCTGTCATGATGTACATCAACAAACCAGGGCTGTGAGTACATTCAGACTAAGTGCTGATATGTCAACTGCGATGTCAAATCCATTTACAAAAAAAAAAAAAAAAAAAGCATAATAAGCAATTTATTATGCCTGCATGTGTTGGTGTAATGGAGTCCTGCAATGAGTGGTTTAAATTGGGTCATTTGTAATGATGGGAAGTTAAAAACTGGTGAAGGTATTTTAAACACAATGCTGCTATAGGAAATATGTATTTTGGGGCGTGCTGCAAATGCCTTTTTTATATTTTTGTTATTTAAAAGACTGAATACTATACAGTATAACACTTTTATGTCTTTTGATTTTTGGGTAGGCAGATGCCCTTGTGTCCCCGTGTGTGTGTGTGTGTGTGTGATGAAATGTGCTGCCTGTTAGAGTGCACGCTTATGGAGGGGCAGGTAATGAATTATCCATGGAGAATCTCTGTGCAATTTAGAAAAAGTCACCTTGGAAACTGTTGAGCATCACAGGCAGAGGGGCTAAAACACATAGAAGTTGCCCAATTCTTGCTCCGATATCCCACTTGTTTCATCATCTCTGCTCATGCGAGCGGGGCATTGAAGTGTGTTTATAGCAGAGACGGGGCCAGCGCTACATCAGAAAAGCTCGGCTTTTTGCAATAAAGCGTAATGCCCATCCCCTGCCCTTTTTTCTCTGCAGGTAACCAGAACAGATGACGGGGGGGGGGGGGGAGCCCCCCATGTAAGAGCCCGATGGGGCCCGGCAGTGGCTGGAGATCAGCTGCTGAGATTTATCGTCTCTTGCGTTGAGGTAGCGGAGATGAAACAAGGCATGGGATACAAATGGAGGGTGAATGAAGCGAGTGCACGGCTCGTATACCCAGTGGTGTTTCTCAGGCTGGTCATGGCGGTGGAGGATATTTGAGGTTGATGAAACATGAGGCAAGATTTTTTTTTTAAATTTTTTTTTACACAGAATACAGTCTGGTCACCAACACCGTCTGTATGGCCAACAACAGCTGTGCCTTTGGGAATAGTTCCGCCTATTCAGGACAATTGATAGCCTCCAGAAAGGAACACAAATTTTGGATTTCTGTCCACAAAAGTGCTGCTTAAGCTGCACGGGGAAATGGGAATGCCTGGAAGGAAGGGAGAAAAAGATCAATATAGTTTTTTATTTTTTCTCCCCCCCGCCCTCTTTTTTATTTTTTTTTTGCAATGTTGGTGATGAAACCTCTTGCAAGTGTAGTGCGGATTATGATTGCTTAGCATTGCGATATGCCCGCTCCACTCTTCTCAAAGTAATACTTTCATCCAGACAGAGTATGCGAGTGTGTTTGATGATTTTTCCGTGTGGAACTTGAGTCAGACTTGGCGTGTTCATTACTGCTCTCTTCCGTGTGTTCATCACTTTGGATTATCCAATATCGGATAGAACATGGAGAGCATAAGCGTGGAGCCGTGCACTGGCTGCTGGTTTTCATGTAACCTACTTCTTTTTAGTCGTGGCTGATTTTAATGTTTGAACTGACGTAAAAAAAAACAAGCGATTTAACCCCGTATTTGTGTAAGAGGCGAAATTAAGCTAGTGGATAAGGCAAGGGAAGAAAACGGTCAGTTTCCGTGCATTTTTTTTTTGAGAGTTTTTGGGAGACTTGAAGTTCTGATATGTTCTTGGCAGGATGTGTGTACAATTTTTAAAAAAAGGAGGTTAAAGATAGCGAGACCTTGTTCTAAGATAAGCAGTGTATAACCCACATTGGAAAGGAACTCAGGCACATCATTAGACAGCTATTAGTACAGCTTCTTGATAAAAGAGTCCTGAGTAAATTGCCGACTATATTTGTACTCTACCTGATTAAATTATGCTCTACATGCAACAGGATCCAGCATTCATATTTATCTATTACTCGCTCTTTCAAGCCAATATCTTATGACTGGCTCCAGCAGAGACATTGACAATAGTCTGAATTTATAAAGGTGAGGTATTTATTTACACCAAATGAAAAACATTTGACTGAATCTTACGCTCAGGCTGGAATACACGAGGAGCTGAGAGGAGGGTTACATCGAGCACCTGAGTTAACATTGCTGCTCCAAGATTATTAATTCAGACTGCACTCTGGAGTGACGCAATTGTAATATCTTTAATTCATTTCTTTTTTTTTTTTGTTGTTGGGCATCGTGTGAGGCTCCATCAAATATCCTGCCGGCATGACATCATCAATCACTCGCCATAATTTGAACTGAGCGGTGGCAATGTTATTAATAGAAATTAGCATCTTTGTTACTTAGTCCAGGTAATAACTATGAATCAAAGCACTCCACAGGGGGAAAAAACCCACAGATGATGAATTTGTTTTGCGTTTTAATTCGGTGATGCTGCTGAGCTCTTGTTTGTTTGATGGCCTTATCACAGAAAGTGTGTGTTTTTTAATTGAAGAGAATCCACCCCAAATCAGAGCACCAGTCAAAGGCTTGAATTATTCCAGTGTTTAACTTTGATTAACATAAGCCTAGAATGTGTTGAACCGCTCTGGTTTAGCCTGCTGTGCTGCGGAGGCTGCCTCGCTGCTGTCGGGTCAATGCAATATGCATTTACTGTAACGTGTGTATGCAACCAGTGCAGTGAAGCTGCCGGGTGTTTTGCCAGTGTGTGTGTGTGTGTGTGTGTGTGTGGGCTGCCTGCAACCCCTCACTTCCTCTGCCAGTGCAAGGCCGAAGTATCAAGAGCTGTTCTCTTCCTGTTTAATCAAGTCCTCCAGGCAGATACTCTGCAAAGCCAATGAAGTCTCTCCTCTCCCGTCACACCGCTTGTACTAACAGAGCAGCTCCGAGAGTAAACACCAGCTATACCGAGCCTGGAAATAGATTCTGTATGTATCAAAACGCTGGTGAACGCAAAACCAGTCGAACACCAGTCCCTTTTAAAATGAGCTTCACGTTATCAGTGACTTGAGAAACGACAGCGTTCCTTTAGGGCGGTGATTCGTGTTTTCCCAGACATCAATGTAGCTCATGCGTGGTATAACATACATATAGCTTCCATATAGGAGCCAGCGTTTATCATAGCACATCATCGTATAGCGTTCATCGAACAAAATATGATTGAATGTATTTTTGCACCAGGAAACGACATAAAATGGCATAACGCCCACAGATATTTAACTTTTTCTGCTTTCCTCTTCTACTTTTTGTCTCCATCTTAAAACCAGAAATACTTTATACTTTGAGAGATATCAATAATATTGATAAATATCCTTCTGTAAAATTAGAAGTGTGTAGGCTATACCAAAGAGAATGGCCCAGTTTTAGCTACAAATAACAAGTCCAATGATGAAGCAGCCATGCACTTCTTCTCTGTTTTTAATGTGCAGCAGGTATACAATCTGTCTTTTTAAATCTTTGTTTACAGTGTGTGTGGAAAGAGCACTTCTTCTCACTAAATCCCCTTTTTGTTTATTGATTATAGCATGTTTCACCATCTGTATCTATTTATGGCTTCATTCGCAGATGAGAACATCAAGACAACGTACAGACCGTTGCAAACAACCGTTTTAGCCCCTAAAGACATTTTTTTTTTGTAGTGGCCAAAATGTTTAATTACTTCATGGTCTGTCTTGTAATGCTGTTGGGCCCAAAGACACTTTTCCCCCCATAGACTTACATTAGGAAAGAGATTTCTGTAACTCAGCGGATAATGAATCTTTAGGTCAACCAACTTCCCGGTACGAACACTTAAATAGCCCTTATTTAAATGGTTATACTGTACTTTATTCTCCAGGGTTATAGGAATTTGGTTAACTACTATTTTAGCATCGCCCCCCGAACCTTCCCTGGTCAAAGGCATCGGGCTCAGTGTTTCCCCTCTACTACAAGCGTATCACATTCCCCTCTGAAAGCCGCTGAATGATTTCCCCTCTCCCTCTTTTTGTCACTCTTATTTCACGCTCTGAATACTTAGTAGTTAATAGCTTCCCTCCCCTCTTCCCCGTCGTACCTTTTTCTCTCACACAGACACCCCCCCCCCCCCCCACACACACACACACACACACAAGTTTACCCACCAGCCTTCCAGTAAACTCTTCCAGAGCTATCAGAGGAGTCTGATTTTTAATTTGCGGTTAAACGGCGCCCAACATATGCCGCTTGCTTGATAATTGACTTCACTCAGCTTGAAGGGAAGAATGATTAGATCTGAATATTAAGACGATCGTTTTCCACTCTGAATTAGATGGGAGGGAGTAAAAAGTAGTGCCTCTGATCAGGCGTGGAGTGTCGAAGGCGGCTATTTATGGCAAACAGGGTGACAATGTTGGCCCTGAAAGAGCAAGTGGACAAGGGAACAGATGAGCACAAGCTGGATGAGAACGTGCTGACATTCCATCCATTTTTTTTTTTTTTTTTTTTTACACGCTTTATCTCATCACATACTCTTCAGCATCTTGGTGGTTATCGTCATTCTGTTTCCTGTGTAAAGTCCGCGCGATAATGGAGCGAGAGGCTGCGAGTCTCATCCATTATTGATCAGAGGGGAAACTGAAGAGGTGATCACACCGGGTTCACATCCAGCTCCCTTCTTTGGTGTGCTGTTAAATCGTCTAAGATGTGCAAGGTTTAGCAAAAGAAAAAAACGATGAGTCATTACAAACCTTTACATATCTGGACCGGTCACAGCAGAGCAGAGACATCTAAGCTATAGCCGTACGAGCCACATTGTGCGCGTGCTCTTTTTGGAGTGAAATGCGTTGTTTAATGTGAGATGATATCCAGCTGCCCGTGCTTTCATCAGCATGCACCTCCACCGTCTAGTTGTATTCACTTCATTAGCAGACTGCCACCGCCATGTGCTTCGGATGCTTATTTTCACCAATGGGTCATGACAAGTCTAAATGTATGTATGTGTGTGCTGGTGTGGTTGAGGATACACGTGCACTTGATTGGTTTTAGTGATATGCGATCCGCTGTCACGCCGGTGCACCGTTAGTCGTCCCCGGCCGTGTTTAGTATGCAGAGAGCAGGCCGCTGGTGTAATCTGGATTCTGAGGCGGGTTGCTGAGGTGTTTTTTTTGTTTTGTTTTGCTCTCATGGCCCTTATAATCTTGTTACACCGCTGTCAAGTGGAGCCGGCTCTCTCCCTGCAGCCCTGAACCACCACGCAGTACCAGATATCCCCTCCCGCCCTCCCCCCCTCTGCCGCCATTTTGAGACAGCCGTTGATGGAGGAGCCTTGGATGTATCCTTGAAGAATCACCTCCTGAGCATCTTTATTCAGCCCCCCTGTTTCCCACACCCCCCCACCCCCACCTCGGGCTGTGAGCGACGGTGATAAATATTCATCAGGGGACGCGGTGCTGTAGCCTCGGCTCCCCCTCAACAAAGGGTCCCCTAGCTAATGGTGTCCATCCTTGGCAGCCCCCCACCCCCCCCGGAGAGATCCTGTGGTGGGGATGAGATCATTAAAGCATGACACAGGCTCAAGGCCGGACCTATCATGTCACATCAGCATTTATCCCACCAGAGTCTCAACCTAAGCCGACCCCCACCTTGGCGCGCTGCCCTCTATAGATCTAGATGAACACAGACAGCTTTCTGAAGGTTGGCAGGGTTGTTCTCGTCGTGTTAGTTCAACTTCACAACTTCCTAATTGGCACCTTGGTTTTGGTCCTTGCTGAGATCAGTACATTTTTTTTTTTTTTTTTTTTTCTCAACATGTTCTTCTCAAGCTCCTCTAAATGTGTCGAGCGTGCATTTTTCACAAGGCTGTTTGCTCTTTCTCTCCCTCTCTTTCTTCTCACCCTCTCTTTCCCCGCTCTCTCTTTCCCTGTCCGTCTCTCCCTCCTTCTTTCTCCGGGTGACCACACTCAGCGATTTTTCTATTTCCTGTGGGTGTGATGTCTCTCCTCCACAAGCAATCAGCTCTGATTTGTCAGCGTTCTTCCGGGGCGGTTCATAAAAATTCAGCAAGCACCTACAAAAAGACGCTCGCGTCCCCTTGCACTCGCTCCCTACACCTCTACAGCCCCCCCCCCCGTGCTCCAAGGCTCCAGCTTTCGTCTCCTGCTAGCTTTTTTTTTGTGCCAGACACACACACACACACACACACACACACACACACACACACACACACACAAAAGAGGTGAAATCATTAAGAGGTGTGCGAGGAGACATCGGTGTCTGGTGTCCTCGATTGCCACTCTTAAGACGGCCGATTATAAGTGTGTTTTTCTTTCCCCTTTTTTGTCATCCGTGTGTGTCTGCGTGCCTCTTTGTCTCCGTGAGGTATGACATGCCTGGTGGTGGAAGGGAGCAGCTGTGCATCGGACCTTGTCTGTGTTGCGCTGCCATGCCCTGTCATTGGTAGCCGTCTGTTGGCAGCAGCCTGTGCTGGAGGGGTTGGAGCGCTGGGCTCAATCATTCCAAAAAGTGTCATATGGTGAGCTCTCAGCCATGCCGAGCAGTGCCGTGCCAAGCCGATGCCTACTATGTTACCCTACACAGCTGTGTGACAGAAAAAAACGCCTCTTCAGCCCCGGACAATGTGCCACCGCCACCTCTCTGCATTTTAAGATCCCCACTGGTTGGTTGATTGGTTGAATAATGCTGAGGGGTAAAATTATAGGCTTATATGAAATTTGGAAGAAGCAGCCTTTTTTTTTTTTTTTTTTTTTCTCCGACTCTCATCCCCGGTAGCTATTAGCGGAGTACTTTCCCGTCTATTTGTCCATTATCTGTGCATCATCAGGCAGACCATTATCCCATTATGTTTTGCATCTGTGGTCCAGAATGCTTACTGGAAATGAGTCACCACAAAGGCCAGTGAAAGGTAGGTGTTACTATCAGTCGGCTATTCATAGCCAAGCCCAACAGGGATGAAAGTATCGCATTTAAAAAGTCCTCCGCGGAACGTGAAAGGCTTTTTCTTTTTTTATTATTATTATTATTATTATTATTGTGGGCATCTTTACAGCAGAGGGAAATATTGCCGTTTTTTCATGAGGAGCCGGAGGACTTTTTTTTTTTTTTTTTTGATGTGAAAGCATCAAGAATGCGAGTCACAGTCCGACCTCATGTTATGTCCCACAGCCTGTGTGATAGTGTCGTATTCAGGTCATTTTTAACAAGCGTCTGTCTCTGCCTGTTTGGCTCAGGTGACCGGTCCACCTGTAGCACCCTCCTTTTGTTGCCATGGAAATAGCCCGTCTTACTGCACTTCAGAGCTACGACTCATCTTTTTCTTTTCCTCCCTCCCCTCACTGAGCTTCTCTGCACACATCATGCATATGCATGAGCACTATCTTAGTTGGCGTGTCGGCTATAAACACATGCAGTAGTTTCTTTTTTGGGGGGAATTCTTTTGTTTCCCATTTTGACGCCAAAAAAAGTTGTAAGAACCCACACGCGTTGGTTTATCTGCTCAGTACAAACACACAGATTGGTGCTGTGTGTGTGTGTGTGTGTGTGTGTGTGTGTGTGTGTGTGTGTGTGT